GGTCCTTGGAGAGGGACATCATGCTTGGGAGGGTGGAGGGACAGCGCAGGAGGGGAAGACCCTCTATGAGATGGATTGATTCGGTGACTGGGGTAATCAGGATGGGTGTGTCAGAGGTGGTACGGTTGGCGCAGGATAGAGCAGGATTTAGGGCTGTTGTGAATAGGGTCGCTATGAGTCGCAAATGACTCGACGGCACATAACAGCAACAAGTCATAATGAGTTGACAAGAAATCCTCAGCTTCTCAAGAACTGAACAGTGTTCTCTTAAAAAAGGCTTGAAGAAAAACACAGAACATTAAGATAATATTCTTGTTCTTTTAAATAAAAACTCAAGGCATTTTAGACTGCATGTTTCCATCCCATTTTAGAGATGAAGAGGCTGAGGTACAGATGATTCATGCCGACTGTCAAATGATGGCTTTGCCCGCTTTTTGTCTTCACATGTTGACTCTTCTGTTTACATTGAGACCCTGGTTCTGCAAGGCCATGAGTTTGAATCGCATCTCTGCTTGCTTTTAGTTATCTATCTTGGGCAAGTTATCTGAGCCTTGGGAATTCAGTTTGGGTGGCATCAATTGTTAACAAGCTCAGCATGTAACTGAAATTTGAAGGTTCAAGCTCATCTAGAGATGCCTTTGAAGAAAAGACCAGGCTACTGCTGCCAAAAGAGCACCAGTGGGGCTACGGTGTGCTCTGGCCTCTGGAACGGCCCTGTTGTGTTGTCTTTAGATGCTCGTTGCAACTCATTTTGAACCCATGTACCACGGAAGGGAATTCTACCTGATCCATACCATCTTCACAACTTGTTTTGCACAAGCTCCTTGTTGAAGCCAGTGTCAATCCATCTCATTGAGAGTCTTCCTCTCCTTCACTGACACTTTACTTTTTCACTCTTAATGTCTTTTTACAAAGATAACATGCCCAAAGTTTGTGACACAAATTCTCCTCATCCTTGCCTCTAAGGAGCACACAGGCTATATTTCTCCTAAAATAAATTTCTTATGTTCTTTTGGCAGTCTGTGGCATATTCAGTACTCTTCACTAACTCTACAATTCAAAGATGTCAATTTTTCTTCAGTTTTCCTTATTCATTGTCCAACTTTCACAAAGCATTCAAAAACACCATTGCTTGGGTCAGTCAGTTACATCTTAGTCTTCAAAGTGATATCCTTGCTCTCTAGCACTTTAAAGAGATCCTTCACAGTGGATTTGTCCAATGAGTCAGGGACATTTTATTTATAAGTATGCTAAAAGTAAATTCCCTCACTTGGCCCTGTCCTCTGGATGAATGAAGAACAAACAAGCTTTGAGATTCAGAAGACTTGTTATTTCCCAAACTACAACTTCTTCAATTGAAAAGAAAATTTGATGAAGACAGTTACCCTTGTTGTGGGCTTTAAGAATTATGTCTTCTGCTAGGTGCTCACATGACCCCATTCTTCATGAAAGGCACTTGGGACATACACACACAGCCGTAAGGGGTGAAGTCTGGATTGGAACCCAAGTCATAGGCCTGCCTCCAAAATTTGAGCTCCTTTAAATTCAACATATAAATAATAATAGCAAGATCATCTATGAATGGTAATATAATTATTATTATTACTTTTGTAGAGTTACTCGAACATTTTGGAGGTCATACCTGACTTTGGCTGACTCGCCTTCTGCTTGGGACTTTCTGATTTGATTGACTGCTCTTTTAGGAGTTATGGAAAAAGTGACTTATGTGGACTGCTCGTGGTAGTACATGGGAGCGTATGTTGTTCTTGGTGACAGGCTGCAGGCAAGAGATTAATAAAAAACCTTGAGGAAAAAAACTCAAAGGGGGATATGTGTGGACTTTTAACACGTTAATGTCTACAGTGCTTCTGTGAGAACTAGACGTGCGTTTGTCAACTACTGACTTTGTATTCTTCACCTTAACCCTTTGGAAAACCTAGAAGGAAGTGACTTCTATTTTCTTTCTTCCCCACCCCCCACCCCCAAGACAGCAGCAAATAAGAACATCTGGGTAAAGGCTGTTCCTCTGAGGTTGTGCCCCTGGAAATCCACTCTGTTATTATTATGTACCATCGAATCAGAACCAACTCATAGGTGACCCTCCTGCAGGTTCTAAGAGACTGTAAATCACTCAGGAGGTGATTGCCTATCTTTCTCCCCCCGAAAAGTGAGAAGATTCAAACTGTGTGGTTTTGGCTTGGCAGTGCTACTCCTTACTGCTAAGCCACCAGAGCTCCCTGGATCTCTGCTCTAGACTAACTTTATTTTACAGACAAAGAAGCTGAAATCCAAGAGGCACTGAGACCTGTGCCTTGTTTCCTATCTATGAACATAGCTTTTCAGGCAATAGTCTCTTCTAAAGATAGAATTCCTGTGTGGATGAGAAGAAAGGAACTACTTTGCCAAGGCAAGTCTATGGAGGATGGAAACCTTATTCTCTGTAAATCCCAGGGTAATTGGGCTACCATGCTAGTTTGTCTCCAAAAATGACTGCTCACAATACACCCTATTCTTCTGCACATAAGGGACTTCACCCATCAGAGGCTGGGCTCTGATTTCCATCCTCTGGAATCTGGGCCAGCCCTGGGTTTGCTTTGCTTAGGAGGGGTGCGGATTAATGTCTAAGGTGTTGAATATTTTTGCTTTCACTCTCTTGGAGCCAGTGGCTGTGTTGTAAGGTAGTTCTGGACAGATTAATAAGACTAAATAAAGAAAAAAAGAGAAAGACAAAAACAGAACACCTTAATCCTCAACTGACAGTCAGCGCCAAGGGCCCAGATATGTGTCTGTGGATGTTTTCAATGTTCAAGCCAGAGCCTAACTCCCAAATCAATTTAGTCACATGAATGGTCCATCTGTCCTCCAGCCTTCTTTGCAGCCATACTCCTCATACACATCCTTTATGTCTCTATTTTAACATTTTCCACTTCTCAGTAATTATCTCACAGGAAGCATTTGCTTTGATGTGTAACCACAGGGTTGACGGGGAATTGTTTTTGGAACAGTCACTTTGGGGTCATGTTTTCACGGCTCCTTGACTAAGGCAGCCACAAGAAGATGCTTAAGAGCAAGTTCCATTTCAACAACAACAGTCGATTTATTTATTCTTTTTTTACATAATTTTTAAATTTTATACTGGATTGCACACACAATTCATATACATTGTGTTTCATTCATAGGCATTGTGTTTCACACATACCTTCATTCACATTATGTTTCATATGATCATTTCCATGCACTGCATTTTATAAAACAAACAGTCAATAAATTACTTCAGCCATGAGTTGGAACGAAAAAAAGTACAACTTTTGATGATGGATTAGTGGCCGTTCTGAGTTAAAAGTGCATGAAAACTTAGGATTACGATTGTCTGTTACCTCTACTCTCCCTCCAAAAAATCAGAGGCATATATGTCACCATTTTGAGGAAAGAAGAAGGTCACTTATTCGTATTTGGTTGCCAACCATGGGCCAGGTTCATGTCTTCGGAGTCTGGTGAGCCTATCCATAAAGATGTTTTGGTACTGAATAACCAAATTTCAAAAGGTCTTTGACATCCTAGTGTATTGTTATGGTTTTTGTTAAGTGCTGCCTAGTCAATGTTAAAGACATCATTCTGGGGAAGGTGGAGGGTCAGAGAAAGAGAGGAAGAACGTCAACGAGATGGACTGACACATTGAGTACGGCAATGGACTGAAGTCAACGTGGACTCCTGACTACCTTATGAACAACAGATCTGAACCTTGTCCTGTTCCTGAGCCAACTCACCAACTCTGACACATTGGAGCCTATTGTTAGTCATGGTGTTAGTCCATCTTGTTGAAGGTCTTCTTCTCTTTTTCTGATTCTTCACCGTTCCCAGTGTGTCTTTTTCCAAGGATAGTCCCTATTGACGACAAAGTATGTGAGAAGTTTCACCATCTTTTCCTCTAAAGGACGCCCTGACTGCACTTCTACCAAGACGTACTTGTTTGTACCTTTGGCAGTCTGTGGGATATTTATTCAGTACTCCTCATCAATCCCACAATTCAAAAGCATCGGTTCATCTTTTGCCATCTTTAGTCATTGTCCGGCCCTCAGATGCATAGGAAGCAATTGCAAATACTCTCCATCACTGCTGGTCCAGTGGTAAGGGGTTCTTGCTTTTTGATATTGAAATGTAATCCCTATGGAAGTCTTTGATCTTCTGCAGCAAGTGTTTCAAGTCCTATTCATTTTCAGCAAGTGAGGTTGTGAATAGCACAGATTATTCAATCCTTATGCCACATTCGTCTTCACATAGTCTGGCTTCTTAAATTATTTGCTCAGCATGCAGGTTGAATAGGTTTGGATAAAGAGTTCAACCCTGACATATACTTTTTCTGGCTGCAAACTACGCAGTATTCCCTTGTTCTGTTGGGGAAACAGCTTTTTGGTCACAGCCAAAGATAATGGAAGGAATTAAGAAAAAAAAAGTAGTGATTTGAATAATACATGTCTATGAAAAATTCATATATATTCACAATGTGACTTTATTTGGAAATAGTGTCTTTGCACACTTAATTGGTTAAGGATCTCATGATCATATCATCTTGAATTTAGGAAGCTCATCACCATGAATTTGATTCTGACTCATAGTGGCCTCACACTACATGACAAAATTGTCCACCAAGATTTCCAAGGCTGTAGAGAAGCAGAGTGACATAATTTTCTCTCATAGAAATGCCAGTTCATTCAAAAACTGATTCTTTGTTAGCACTGATACACTTCAAACTATTTACTGCTGTATATTTGAGACTAACTCATAGCTGATTCTCTAGCAAGTTTCAGAGGCTGTAAATCACTGCCAATGAAAAGGCAGCTCAAATCCACTAGCTTCTCTGAAGGAGAAAGATGGACAATCTCCTCTCATGTGATTTACAGCCTTTAATTGGTGTTGTCTAACTCCCAGAGGTCGATGTTTCCCGTTCTCAGCTAATTGTGGACTTCAGAGTGTTACAACACTTACACATATGGACTTACCTATAGATACCTTCTACCAAGATGAGAATCTTTTTCCAAGCTCTGCGGGTACGTGGCTGGCCATAGATTATCGCGTCTCTCAAGTGCTTCTCGAGGTTCTGTGCATCTTGAAATGATAGCAAAAAGAAATGGAGTTAAGAGAGGGTTTTTACTTTTTTCCTCCATTTTCTTACTCTAGATGAATTCAGATCTCTCAGGCTTAGGGTCAGACCTAAATATTCAGAGACTCAAGAAGCAACTAGAGTGAAAGCTTAAAGGTTACTATCACTTAATTATGATAAGTTTAATGATCAGGGAGGTTTGTATTAGTACACAGAGTCAACCACACCAGTTTCTCCTCTGCTGTACATAAATAAAAACCATAATGAGATACAACCTTACCCCCACTAGGATGGGTAAGATTAAAAAAGAAATAAAACAAATGTTGGCATGATGTGGAGGAAATCTTTATGCAAAATGATATAACCACTGTGAAAATGTTGCCAGTTTCTCAAAAAGTTAAACACTGAGTTCCCATATGCTCCAGCAATTCCCCTCCCAGGCATATTTTCAGAAGTGAAAGAAGAGAAGTAACCAGAAAGCTGCAGCCAAGACTTACTGCAGCAGTAGTCATGATAGCCACAGAGTTGAGATGACGCAGTACTCATGAACAAACGAAGGAATAAACAGACTGTGATCTACATATTCACTGAAATATTACTGACCATAAAGAAAAATAAGGCCTTGATACATGGATGAGTCTTGAAAACAAGCCAACTGAAATAAGTCAAAGGATGAATACTATGTTATCCTATGTGGAAAAAAAAACACAACCCAAAACATCAATAGGAAAATGTATAGAAAACAAAAGTTACCTGGTATCATAGGTTCGTTGTACAAAATGGCTTTCCTAGTCTTGGACTCTGACTTTCACGGTCTGGCTAGATGGGAACGTGAAACAAAGTGGGTAGAAACAACTTGTGATGATATTAGTCAGTTTTCCCATTATTTCAGGTTTGAATTGAGCAAGTTTAACAGCACAAGAGGGCAATCTCATGGCCAGAGAGGAAGAAGTGGCAAAGAATACAACTCATGTCCTTCAAGGCCAGATATTCCGGTGACAGTCAAACCAGGACCTACGTGAGAATGTAGCAGCCTCAGTAGAGAACCAGAGACGTATGTGACACCAAGCTAACTTAGGACTCACAGAGCTATAGCTAGACTCAGGGATCTTTGTCCAAGTTTGAGCAAAGATTGGGGAGAACAACCAGGAAAGAATATAATAGATCAATGGGATCTTCTAAAAATCAAATCCCAACACACATTAAAAAAAAACACAACAAACCAACACAAAAACAAACAAACCACTTGTCTAGCAGGGTAAGAAGGAAAGCCACAGACTGAGGAAAAAAAAATTGATAATGCCATACTTGATAAGAGACTCATATCTAGAATTTGTGGAATAATTTTATCACCTACAAGATAAAGGTAAATAACCCAATCACTTAATGGGCACGGGATATGAATAGACACTTCACCAAAGAAGACATTCAGATGGCACATAAACACATGAGGAAATGTTCAAAATCCCTAGCTTTAATAGATGCAAATAAAAGCAACTATGAGGTATCATCTCACCCCTGTATCAATAGGAAAATTCAGCAGGGCAGAAATCAACAAATGCTGGTAAGGTTATGAAGAGAGTGGAACTATTATTCTCTGCTGGTGGGAGTGTAAAATGGAGGCTGTATGGTGCTTTCTCAAAAAGTTGGAAATAGAACTATGTGACCCAGCAATTACACTACTAGGAATATACCTTAAGTAAACCAGAGCTGCCAGTCAAAGAGATACATGCATCCATGTTTATTGCTACATTATTTACAATAGCAAAGAATGAAAGCAACCCAAGTGCTCACCAGCAAATGAATTGATAGAAACACTATGGTATATTCATATAATGGAAAACTGCACAGCACTGAGAAATAATAAGTCATAAAATATTACACAATATATCAATGAATGAATGGAAATCCAAGATATCTGTAAATGTTCATTAAGGTTAATAAAGTAAAGTAAAAAAATATTACACCATACATGTGTGATCCTTAAGGACATTATGCTGAGTGAAATATCTTAGTCATAAAATGACAAATATTGCATAACACCATTGTTATAAAACAGGACCAGCATGCGGGTTGGGAGGAAAGAGTGAAAAGAGGGGATAAATAATAAATACTGCCTTGGAACAGATGAAGGAAAGAACTGTTTAAAAGGAATATATGACTAGACATGATATGTATGACAACAGCCTAGAAAAAGGGTACATTGCAAAGAGGACTGGGGGAGAGGAGAGAGAAAGCTAATTGTGTAACAATGAATAAATATTAAAAAAAGAGTGAACTGTGGGAGGGCGAAGTGAGGGAGATGGTGTAAAATCTACAACAATTAATGAATGAAAATATAACTTTTTTGTAAACTTTTGTTAAAATCATAATTTAAAAAATTGGGTTTTAAAAGAAATAAAATGTGGAAAAAAATCAGTTGGGGAGAGACACCATAATTGGCGGGAGTGTTGGTCGCCTAGTGACAAGAAGTTACTTTGCAATTCTGAAGGAAAAAGCATAAGCAGTCTACTCCCACGTGATTAATCACCTTTGAAAACTCACTGGAGGGTTAACTATGGGTTGGCTCTGACTCTATGGTATAATCAACAAGACTAAAAACAAGAGAGCTTTGTTTCTCTGATCTAAATCGTAAGGCTAAAAATAAAAATGTCTACAAGCACTCTTCAGAAGCCATCCTAACTGAAGAATTGTATCCTGCCAACTTCCTTAATTCAGTGTTCTCTGGTGCAACATTCAGAGTCTTTTCTGACATCCATTTTGGTCTTCTCTTCCTCCTCTGTCTTTGCAATGAGGTTTTGCATTCATCCTGGGTGATATTCTTGATATCTTTCCACAGCTCATCTGGTTTTCGCTCATTAGTGTTCAAGGTCTCAAACCTGTTCCTGAGATGGCTTTGAAATTCTGGTGGGATAGACCCAAGGTCATATTTTGGTTCCCGTGGATTTCACTTAATTTTCCTTAGCTTCAGCTTAAATTTGTGTAAGAGTAGTTGGTGGTCTGTTCCACAATCAGCTCCTGGCCTAGTTTTCACAGCTGATATTGAACTTCTCCAGTGATTCTTTCCACAGATGTAATCAATCTGATTCCTATGCATACCATCTGGTGAAATCCATGTGTATAACCTTGTTTATGTTTCTTATGAAACGTATGTGCAATGAATAAATCACTGATTGGGTAAAATTCTACTGTTCCATCTCCAGCTTCATTTCTGTCACCAAGTCCATGTTTTCTAACTACTGATCCTTCTTCGTGGTTCCCAATTTTTGCATTCCAATCACTCATTATTATGAATGCATCTTGATTGCATGTTTGATCGCTGACTGGAAAAGGTGGTAGAAGTCTTTTCTTTCCTTTTTGGCTCTGGTTGTTGGTGCATATATCTGAATGATAGTGGTATTCACTGGACTTCCTTGTATACATATGGATACTAGCCTGTCACTCACAATATTGTATTTCAAGACGGATCTAGGAATGACTTTTTTAACTATGAAAGCAACACCATTTGTATCCACCTTTTCATCTCCAGCATAGTAGGTCATATGATCGTCTGACTCAAAATGGTTCTATGAGGAAAAATGTGGCATCAGGATTGGAGGAAGACTCATCAACAATCTGCATTATGCAGATGACACACCCTGCTTGCTGAAACTGAGGAGGACCTGAAGCGTTTGCTGCAAAAGGTAAAGGAATGCAGCCTTCAATATGGATTGAAGCTCAATATCAAGAAGACAAAGATTCTCACCACTGGGCGAATTGGCAGCATCATGATGGATGGTGAAGGGATTGAGATTGTAAACAGCTTTAGTTTGCTTGGCTTCACAATCAACACTCTTGGCACCAGTAGCCTGGAAATTAAAAGACGCATTGTATTGGGAAAGTCTGCTGTCAGAGACCTCTCCAAAGTACTGAAGAGCAATGATGCCAATATGGAGACTAAGGTGCGTCTGATACAGGTCATGATCTTTGCAATTTCTTGCTATGCATCAGAGAGCTGGACTAGGGATGATAGAAGGAGAATTGATACCTTTGAGTTGTGGTGTTGAAGAAGAGTATTGAATATTCCTTGGACTGCTAAAAGAATGCACAGATTCATCCTGGAGAGGGTAAAGCCAGGCTGCTCCTTGGAGGCAGGGATTCTGAAGCTTCATCTGAGATACTTTGGACATGTTGCAAGGAGGGACTAGTCCTTGAAGAGGGAAATCGTGCTTGGGAGGGTGGAGGGACAGCACAGGAGAGGAGGACCTTCTATGAGGTGGATTGGTTGAGTGGCTGGGGTAATGGGGTAGATGTGTCAGAGACAATAAGATTGGTGCAGGATAAAGCAGGGTTTAGGGCTATAATAAATAGGGTTGCTAAGTTGCAACCAACTTGACAGCATATAACAACAACAACTTCCCTAATAAAATCCATAACAGTGCATATGTTCTGTGAGATCAGTGTGATTTTGAACCAAGTAGTAGAGCAGTAAAATTGGTTTTAGAATTAAAGTTGAAGAAGGTTGAAGTCATGTCTAACATTATGGAAATTGATTTTGTATTGTGGACATTACAGATAGGGACTGTTCTGTTCCCCTTTGTGAAGTGCATACAGGCCAAATGTGTCCTCCTCACATCACTCATACATTGTTTTGTACAGATTATTTGTGGTTCTCAGTGTTGGGAAAAGAGGATGTAGTGAGTTTCTATTTATGGTGACTGAGGATTTAGCAATGATTATGGATACACCATATAATTGATATAATTCATAACACTTGAAAAGTGTTTCATGAAATCCTACATTAGCTGCGTCTCTTAGGTTTAGGGTTTGTTACAAGGCTAACATTAACTCCTGAAGATATGATTATCTTTTACCAATTATTTACACATGAAAGTTTTACAGCCAGGTTTGCATGGAGAGAAGCATTATTGCTACAAGTCTTACACTCTGCGACTTGACTTTCACCATACTACCTCTACCTCACTTACTCATGAACAAGTTCAAAGTGAAGCTAGAGAAAATTAAA